ATTTCGTAGTTTCCTAGGATTGTCAGGATACTACCGTTCTTCCATTTAAGGTTATGCAAGTTAGCATCACCACTCACAAAACTCCTCAAAAAGGATGTGGGGTTTACATGGAATAAAGAACAAGAGGACAGTTTCAATGCCCTCAAGAGCGCTTTAACGAAAGCTCCAGTGTTAGCGTTTCCGGACTGCGCAAAACCATTTACCATATGCACTGATGCTTCGGGGATAGGTTTAGGGGCGGTGCTCATGCAAACTGATCATCGAGGAAAATGGCGGGTATTACCGTACGTCAGTCGCACCCTTAACGATGCAGAAACACGCTATTCAGCTAACCATTTAGAAACATTAGCTGTAGCGTGGGATATCCTATCACAGTCCACACAGATCATGTAGCCGTGAGAGAACTATTTAATGGGAAGAACTTATCAGGGCGTTTAGCGCGCTGGTATCTAGCCATACAGGAGTTTGCACACGACTTCAAGTATTTGCCGGGCCGTGCAAACGTGGTAGCTGATTCGCAATCTAGACACATAGTTCCTGTCACGCCACTCCCTATGTTCACCCTGACACAGTTAAGGGTGGAACAGTTACAGGATCCACTATGGTCCAAAGTTATATATGCCTTAGAATCGGGAATTGATGTAAATTTGCCCAATTAGTGGCTCATGCATTAGTCACTCATCTAATCTGTCCTTTTTCTACACCTAGAGTGATACTCTCGGATAACGGGGCAGAATTTAAGAATCAACTTTTAGCTGCAATATGTCAAAAATATGATATTACACAAACCTTCACAACCGCCTACCATCCATCTTCAAATGGGTTGGTCGAGCGTGCAAAGAGAAAAATTCTTGAGATTCTCCGACATGTGGTGAATCCAATGTATAGTTCGTGGGAGGACTGGCTTCCACAGATTGCAGTGTCCATCAATGGATCAATAAATAGCTTTTCAGGCAAATCGCCATACTACATAATTTACGGTACCGATAAATGCTTACCATATGATCTACTAGCAGGAACCCCACAACCTGTGTACAATATGGATGACTATGCCAAGAAGCAAATCAATGTTTTCACAAGCATCCATGGCAAAGTACGAAAACACTTAGCAGTCTCACGTGCTAAAATGATCTGCAAGCAACATAAAAAAGCTAAGCCTATAAAATTTGAAATAGGAGACAAAGTAATGATAAAAGCGAAGGAACGCATACCAAAACTCTCGCCTAAATTCACAGGTCCTTACGTGATTAGAGCGAAAGAACATGGAAACAAATTCCAAGTAGTTCAGCCAACGTCAAATGTCACAGATATAGTACATGTAGATAGAATGAAAAAAGTCAGCAAAGACTCAGTTGGGACTCTTTTGTCAGTCAAGTACATCCTACTTCTACTACAACAGTTGTTCAACAAAATATGACGATAAACAATACATATCGTCAAAAACTACGATCAGCAAACACAAATCGTTAATTATCCTCGCCTCTTTAAGACATGGCTTGGATATCACTTCTACTGTTGGTCTGGAGCGCGATGACAACAGCCACATCCCCAGCAGACTTCGTCAAACCCGGAGCTTTAGTTGCCCCACTAGGCAAACTACGGTAGTACAAGACGTTGTAACTGTGAGATACGAGCTCCATGACTTAATGGGCATGCCAGTGAATCTGAGGTCGATAGCTGCCCACATTGAAACAGCTATGAAAACTCTACAAGATCTCAAACAGCAATCTACAATCTCTGCAACAATCGGTCAGACCATCTCTCTTCAACACGACCGTCACTACCGTATGAATAGTCAACTCAAGCGAGTAAAGCACTTCGAGTGAAAGCTCCCTATATCTCCTGAAGACATCGGGAAAAATGTACATTCTCAGCGGCGTCTAAAACGTGGTCTGTTTAATTTTGTAAGGTTAATATGTAACACATTGTTTGGTACGGCAACCGCCGAAGATGTAGCTAAACTAGGGAATAAAATTAGTGCAGTTTCAGAAGCGGTTAAGAAACAAAATAGGGCCATTGAGCAGTCCTAGAAGGCAGTACAAACTCTGACCTCTCATGTGAATGCTATTGTTGAAGAAACTAATCAACTAACACAAATTGTCCAGGGATTCACACGGTCAGAATCTACACTGGAATGGCTACTCTGCTTCACTGAATACATGCATACTGCTGAGGCCTCTGTACAAGCTTTCATAGAAACCAATAATAGGCTCATTGCTGATCTTGTAAATGCAGGGTTAGGTCATGTTGATGCACAGTTGTTGCCAGTTGGACAAATAATTGTCGCTTTGCATATATCTGAAACTAAATATCGCCTAACTCCTATCTTTCAGGAGCATGAAGTGGAATATTATTACCCTTTATTAGAAGCAACATTAACACACAGGGAAATACTAATACACATTCCTCTAAAATCACAAAAAAAATGAAGCATGGCATTTGGAACCAGTTCCACTGAAAGCGAATGAGGGACTATCAATTCTGAACAAGCAAACTGAACTAATAGTAGTATCAGAGGATTTTTCATTAGTTGTTGTGACTAACCATGAAGTCCTAAATCATTGTAAATCAACATATTTGCATTTGTATGTTTGGCCGGCGTATACTTTCGCATTCACTTGGGCAGCTGAGGCTACATATGAATTAGCTAAATTACAAAATAATAACTCTACAGCTCTACAACGTGTATATACTCCAATTCCGCATAAGTTAGTGTTTCACGCACATGTCAATAATGTGCAATATTTCTTTTTCCCAAATCAAACCAGTGTGATACTAATATTTCACGATGTAGGCAAACATTTAGTGGTAGAAGGTTATCATATAGCACCAGACTATTGTGAAATAAGCAGTAATGCAATCACAACCTTGCCTACTCGCCATCATCTTGCATTAGTCACAAATATTACTTCTGAACTGGTTCCCATAGCATTTCCCCTAAATATAAGTTTCACTAATCTTCATATTGTTTCTGATAAGCTTAACCTCCTGTCTTATATTAATGAGACACAGTTTCCTGACTTACAGGATTCTCTTCCTTTATATTTATCTTCCGGTATAATCCTGCCTGGTTTTATTATACCTACCATCATATTTATCAGTTCCTTGATTGTTATGATAATTTGTTTCAGGAAGATTTCTTCTAGGTACACAATAGTTTCTAAGAAGACTTTTCGGGAGGAATTGCAAAAGCATGTGCATGAAGAAAAAGTTTAGCTAAAGCACACCTTTTTGTAACAAGGTTAGGTATACTAGGATTTAAACCGTGGGGTCTTGGTTGGAGGTAGCCAAGCGGTGTAACAGCACCATTTGTATTATATAAATAGTTACCCAAATGTATAGTACCAAATTATTCACCAAGTTATTTAGCTGTGCCTCAGCTGTTGACATTATGAATGGCTGAGGTTGCAGTTCTTTCGGGGAGCGAGGGCAGGCTGAGGTCAGCGTATATTAGCACAACAAGATAAATGACGTGTTTCCTTTCTCACAATCCCGAGTCCTGCTCCTCCCTCTCTTTCTTCCTCAGAGAGATCAAACTCATATTTTTTGTTACCCGGAGAACACCTCACTTAAGTGTTCTCCTGTGTACGTACACTAAGACATTTCCCCAAGTCGAGAAAGTATAATATATTCTCAACTGAACTAAGGACCTGTGGAACTATATTTTCTATAATAAAGAAAAACCAACAAAGTGTTTACTTCAGTCCTGCCACTTATTAATTCCAAAACTAATATATATATCTATATATATATATATATATATATATATATACATATATATATATATATATATATATATATATATATATATATATATATATATGTGTGTATATACAGTATATATATAATCAACACCTCAACCCGCCAGGATTCAAACCCACGGCCCACTAGCCCATGACTGTGACCGGGGAACGCTAACCGCTGGACCACCGGTATACAAAAGCAGTCCTAGACTTTGTTATATTTCAGATAAAGCCTGTTCAACGAGCTTATGGTGCCATGAACCTCTAATGGGGACTACCCGTATTACGTAGGTGGTCAGAGTAACGTTTTACCAAATCCGGCTTCGAAACACGAGGATCCATATATATTTCATTAGCCCAATAGCACGAGGACTTCTACATACAATCAACACCTCAACTCGCCAGGATTCGAAGCCGGATTTGGTAAAACGTTACTCTGACCACCTACGTGATACGGGTAGTCCCCATTAGAGGTTCACGGCGCCATAAGCTCGTTGAACAGGCTTTGTGTGAAATATAACAAAGTCTAGGACTGCTTTTGTATCCTGGTGGTCCAGTGGTTAGCGTTCCCCAGTCACAGTCATGGGCTAGTGGGCAGTGGGTTCGAGTCCTGGCGGGTTGAGGTGTTGATTGTATATAGAAGTCCGCGTGCTATTGGGTTAATGAAATTTATATATATATATATATATATATATTTGTGTGTGTGACCAACACAAAGTGCAAGGAGTCGGAGTCCGTTGTTGTTCATCTTCCCTACTCCATACTTGCCTAGAACTTTGTCCCAATTGTCATAGTTTGAGCCAACTCTAGCATTGAAATCCCCTAAAAGTAGAATTTTGTCAGTTGGTAATACTTCCGCAAGAGCAGTTTCCAATATAGATACAGCAAAAAGATACTACTTAGAAGTTAACAATATTGTTTGGTCTATTCAAATTAACACACACACACACACACACATCATAACATCATCTGTGAGAGAATTACTACACCACGTGATGCCCCTCTTAACACCACCTGTGAGGGAATTACTACACCACGTGATGCCCCTCATAACACCTTAGCGCACAAGATCTACGTGACCTCCACTGTAAACATTAATCTGTATATTCACTGTATGTTCCTTTACCTTTCTCTAATGAAGGCTTTTGTTAAACCACCAATGTATGTAATAAGTCATTTATGTCCAATGTATATTTTCAGCCTTCAGGCTGCAGAACTTTTTTCAATAAACCGTTAATTATTATTTTATTATTATTACACAACACACAAACACACACACACACACACACACACACACACACACACACACACACACACAGTAGCGTTTCATCATTTATCTAGGAAACCTTCTGGTAGCTGGTAATTAAAAATTTCAAAGTCCTTTCTGAAGATCTCATAAATCTGCCGTCTCACGTCAACAGGAATCAATTCGTAATACCTGGAAAATAAAAACATATTTTTAATACTCTGATATGCAAATTAGAATTTCTACGGATCCGCCACATCTGTTATTTATTCATAAATTTATGCTTAAATTTCAAGCTTTGAATAGTTTTTTTAATCATCTCTGTCATATGTAGGAAAAAAGTTTTCAGTTTTCATCTCAAATTACAATTAACTTCAACTAAAGTAAGTGGATGCTGCAGGTAGAGACAGAGGACCAGCTCTTAATCTGCTACATTAAGTGAATTCATTCTTTGGGTACAGTACAGAATGCGTCTAATTGAAATATATATATAATTTCATTACAGGATATGTAGTGGAGAGGAAGGACCTAACTTAACCTGCCTGGGTTTAAAAGTAGCATATAATTTATCACGAAAAGCTTATGCAAATAAAGAAAAAATTGAATTGCCGAATTTTACCTTAGGTAGTTGAATAGTGTATATTTCCTAGGACATCTGTGGTCTGGGTAAATTCAGTAGCGGTAAAACGATGCGCAACTGTTTTAAAATACAGTGAAGTTTCTATGCTAATAATTTAAAGAATTTTCAACAGTTCTTCTCGTAAGGATATCAGTAAATGGTACCTAAGGGTGAGGAATCATTGTTATATCCCGATAATCTAAACTTGTCAACAAAACCAAAATCAATTTATAAAATTTTGCTGGAGTACCTCGTATAATACTGTAATTGTTATACAAAAACAAAACAGCCTTCAACATGACTTCAATCATGTCAACTGATAAGGGCCCAAATTATTATGTTGATGTTCAAGTCATGATGTATGGTCACAAGGCTAAGGGTGAGAAACTTTCCCTACCATGTTGTTATGTCTTTATACGAACAAGGCATAAAATGGGAGGTCGACCACTGTGTTGCTGCTTGGAATGGTAAACTCGATTTGTTTTTTAAGTTTTGATGGTGCAGATGGTACTCGTAAAGTACGGAGGGCAGGGGTTGTCTTCCTGTTTGTTTGACTCCCAGGTGCTGTTACACTACTTCAGTTTTATTCCTCAGAAACTTTGGTAAAAAACATCTCTATAACGAGGAAGTTAGTGCATCGTATTATGACTGGTGGCATTCAATTATTTCTTATAACTATTGATCGAAAAAAAGGAACAGTCATTGTCCTTGTATTATCTAGTTGCATTAGAAATTCTTACTTCGGGGTGTCTGGCGGTCTAAACTATTGTACAAATCTCATCAACTCAAATCCCAAGCAGAGAGCACATCAAGACGTATTACAGATATCCCAGAGATAAGAAAACTTGTGATAAATAGATAAATGCCAACAAGCGCTCCGATAAAATCCAGGTATCTACAGGAAGGTGAGACATTCATCTTGCTATACGTGGCCAAAAAGAGCTCTGAACAGCTTTAATAATCTTAAATAAAATCGTCAGGTTTTGTGCAGTGTGGCAGAGCTGTATTTGGTTACAGGAAACTCGCAATAGTAAACATACTATGAAATTAAAGTAAAAATATATATACAGTATATACTGTATATTAAAACAAAAATATGTCTGTAAAGATTAGTGGAATGTTTATATGATTAATAAGAAATGCATTAAATAAACAGTTATTAGATCGTATCTTTTGCCTAGTGGACGGTGGTATAGCGAGGTGAAGTGACGTAAAGAGAATGTGTGCTGAAGTTTATATCTATTATTTTGCTCGTGTGCTATATTATGCAGGTAACATTCATACTGCACGAAACAGGGATCCACCATATAATTCCTGCCAAAAAGGAGCACCTCACTGACGCACATCGGATTGCTAGTCTCACCTTCGCCCAACAGTATGTTAGGATGGATATAGGGTTTTGGGAGGAAACCATATTCACAGATGAAAAGACGTTCACATCTTCGAACCATGGGGGAATTAACTCCTGTATGCAATATTTTCATTTTGTTTTATGTTATGATATCTTGTGGCAAATATCGATTGTTTAAACATATAAATTCTGAAACTCAATAATCATAATCACAATGTTTACTTATATTTAATGTTTTTTATGCAGGTATGAGTGCTGCAACATATATGAAGAGAAGGGGAGTGTGTTTGTGTTAGTGGGGGATGGACGCGCCTAAGGTTTTCGTTGTGAAAAGTCATAGATAATAAAAAATTATGAAAGATTTTATTAGCGGAGTTTAGTTGATATCGTATTACTATATATACAGTCCCCCTCACTAGTGCGTTTATAGGGGTCGTCATGTTTTGTTGTTCAGTGTGGCAGGGCTGTATTTGGTTATAGGAAACTCACAATAGTAAACATACTATGAACTCAAAGCCAAAAAAAAATATTAAAACAAATATATAAGTGTAAAGATTTGTGGAATGTTTATATGTTTAATAAGAAATGCATTAGACCCTGCTGCAATATGGCATCACGGAAATTGTGACCAAGTCACAAGTTGCTGTTCTGACTTTCTGCCTCATTTACACACAATTGCAGGGACTCAATTGTTTCTCTTACTATTGACAACACAACATACATATATCGTTTCTAACTCTTGATATTTTTTTTAATTTTTGCATTTCTTCATGGTTCTTTATTATTATTATTATTATTATTATTATTATTATTATTATTATTATTATTATTATTATTGCAATGTTGTTATTATTATTATTGTTGTTATCATTACTATTTTATTATTTTTATTTGTGTATTTTTTATTATATATGCGACTTATCTGATTTATTATTATTATTATTATTATTATTATTATTATTATTATTATTATTATTATTATTGTTATTATTATTATTATTATTATTATTATTATTATTATTATTATTATTATTATTTTATTATTATTATTTTATTATTATTATTATTATTATTATTATTACATTTTCGGACCCCAGGCCCCGATGTGGGTCAGTGACCTGTGCCAGGGTGGGTTAATCCCCATAAAAAAATAAACAATAAAAGAATAAACAGTTATTAGATCGTATCTTTTGCTTAGTGGACTGTGGTATAGCGAGGTGAAGTGACGTAAAGAGAATGTAGGGTGGGAGGGGGGCATTTCTTATTAAACATATAAACATTCCACAAATCTTTTCACTTATATATTTGTTTTAATATTTTATTTTACTTTGATTCCACACTGGCACACTACACAAAACCTGACGAGCCCCTGTAAACGCACTAGTGAGGGGGACTGTACATTAACCCTTTGAGGTTGTAATCTTAAACCATCGTCCTTGAAGAGTTATAACTTAAAATATATCGTCCTGGAAGAGTTATATATTAGAATATCGCCGTGGAAGGGTTATAACTCAGATATCGTCCTAGAAGTGTTATAACTCAGAATATCGTCCTCTTCTATAACTGTTACTGAGGGATAATCTCGGGCCAAATACAGTTAACAAAGAGGGCACTGAGGCATCGGTCAGGTCATCATATATAAAGTCATCATAAAGTTCACTGAGCTGAAAGGATACAACTTACCTAAAGTATTTACTGTAAGGGTCGGCTTTGGTGTTATGACTCTTGTTCTTGGCGAGTGAGAAGTTTGTATGGATCCCCAACTTCTGAAAGACGTATTTCAGGTCCTCAGTCATCGTCTCCACCTTGGTTACGTACTGGTAATCCCAGTGGCATGGACAACACTCTTTGGTATATTTTGCCCTGGATATATAAAGATCATCAAGATAATTGGGATATTGCTCCTAGATGTATTCTGTCATGCAGTGGAGAGCCATGTTTGTATTACAGGAAACAAGATACATGATTGTTGGTAAGTAGTGTCCGGAGCTTTTATATAGTGTCTGACTCATAGGAAAAGAAACCATTTTTCACAGAACTGTTGTTGATTATGTTGTTGGTGTACCACCTTTATTTAGAATTTTACACTTTGATCCCTTATTTTCAGATGTTCATTGTGGTATTCGTGCAGAATTAACTTTCGAGATGCCATTGCAAGAAGATAAGGTAAATGTACTAGTAAGTAATCAAATTGAAAGTGGATATGTTGATTATGTGTCTGTGGACGAAGTATATGACGAATTAAAGAAAATTATGGAATCAGCAATGAGGACATTTTCCAGAAGAAAAGACAAGATTTTTTTTCAAAACGAGTAGCAGTGAAAGTATATCAGGTTATGACAAGCAATGTTGGGTGAGTAGAAAGGAATATCACAAAACAAATCATAGACATAACTTGAATACAAATTGTAGAAACAAGACAGATATGTAAGGGTGAACTTCAAAGAGTTAAAGCGAAAGAAAAATGCAATATTATTAAAAGGTTGAAAGAACTTAAATCTAAACACCTGAGAGTGTATTGGCAAACTCTACAGGGTGTTAAAAAAGGATATTCCAATAATGATAAACGAATTCTTGGCTCATTTCAAAGGGTTGACTGAGGAAGGAGATTATGAAGATGAATCCAGGTTGGATATTGTCACAAATGTGAGTGTGGATAATATATTAATTGCTAACATTACAGAATATGAAATAATGAAAAGCATAGGCACTCAAAAACAATAAATCCCCGGGTATTGACTAAATAATTAAAGAATATATAAAGAGTACTAAACAGCTGTTGTGTCCACTTTACATAAAGCTTCCTGTATTTAACAAAGTTTTGATGCTGGAGAGATGCAGGAGCAGTGGCTTAGAGGTCACAAAGACACATTGTTTCCATATATAAAAATAAAGGGGATGTGAGGAAAGTTGTATTGGAAAATTATTTACATCCTTGTTAAATGACAGATTAACACAATTCTGTGAGACTAATAATGTTATTAGAGAATTACAGGCCAGTTTTTTGCGAGGATATTTATCATGTATATGCATTATAAAATGTATTAGCCTTTTTTCAATATAAAAATAAAAACTTATTTTGTCTGTATATTAACTATAGAAAGGCTTTTGACTTAGTGTGGAGGGATGGCTTATGGTATTAACTGATAGAAACGGTCAATAATGGTAAGTAATGGTAAATTTATAAATGTCTTAACTGGTATGTATAGAAATATTAAATCTTGTATTTTGCATAATCATGATATTTCTAAGTATTTTATGCGTTGTAGGGGAGTTAGGCAAGGAGAAAATCTTTCGTCCATTCTATTTTCACTGTATGTTAATGATTTTGAAGAGTTCTTGCTCGATAGAAATAAGAATATTTAAGTTTTAATGAAGAATGGATAGATATAATGTTCGAATTTCTGGTATTAATGTATGCAGATGACTCTGTTATCCTGGCCAATAGTGAGAAAGGTATTGTGAATGTTCTAAAGGATATGGAGGAATAGTGTGAGTCATGGAAGTAAGATATGAACAGTAATAAAACAAAGGTAATAGTGTCTGGAGAAAAGAAATATGCAGCTGAAAGATATGATTTCAGGCTTAAAGGAAAACTAATTGAAATCATTCATGAATATAAATATCTACAGTAGGTTTCTTGTTGAATTTTTATGGTGTATTTAAAAAAAAGTCAACGTGGTTTATGTACATAAGCAAACATAGCCTGTATTAGCACCTGTTTCATAGACAGTAATATTTATATACATATGTGTTAGATATATTAATTTTATATAATTACATCACCCACAGTAATTAAACTATGAGCAAGTGTCAAGTAATAGTGATGAGTGATGCAAGTGACGTCTATGTCACGTAGCCTCAATGTCTTTCAAATGACTAGCCGGTTACACTCAGTTAACCAAGGTACTGTACCTGACAAAGAATCACTAGTGTGTACTGAAGCTCCGGCTAATTGTTTCCCTGCAATATTCTCCTAAGCTATCTGCTCTTGATGTTACCTCCAGAGTAAGATAAACATGAGAGAGAGAGAGAGAGAGGGTGAGAAAGAGGGGGCAGTGCTGACAACGTGTTTGTTGGTCGTGTCTAATATAAAACGGATGGCCCTTGCTTAGGGCTGCGATTGGGTGGCGATTGCTCACAGTAGTCTACCAATTCTTGCAGGAGAAACAACACGCTGGTCGAACCCAAGACCCCCAAGACCCTAAAACGTAAATATAAACTCTAAATAACTTTAATAAGTATATTTATGTACTGTAATTTGATCATATTATACAACTTGTCTCCTGATGTATCAACAGATGTAACATGTGAGTTATACTTCAGATGTTAACAGGCTATGTACTGTATATTGTTTGTATTATTCATACTATGTGTCCTGAGATAACAGCAGTTGTTTTATGTGAATTGTTCTTAAACAGGTTTTGACCGAATTATATGGTACGCTTTAACAGTCAAAACGTGTACTGGAGGACTGTCGAAGGACCAATGCCGGAGTTCAGCTTGGGAGAGCATAGGCTCGTCGATCGCCCACCCACCCACAGTGGGTGGATCAAGTGCGTCGTCAGCAGGGAGACAGTGATAGCGAGTGCTGCGTGTTTGAGTGAAGTGTCTTAAATACCTGGACAGTGTCGTAAAGCTTCCGTCTGCGCGTACGGGGCTGTGAGCGTTCCTTCCGAACAGGGGGGCCGCGCACCCAGTGAGATAAGGTTTCAGAACACCCGGACAGTGTCGTAATGTTTGGTCTGGGCGGACTGGTAGTTAGCGTTCCCTCGGACACGCACGCAAGTGATTATAACTAACAGCTGATCTTCCTATACCAGTGACACCATAGTATATCAAATATCGCAAAATTAACTTCAGAAAATAATCACAAAGGTTTGCTTAACAGATACATTATTCTGATAAGATTCATTAACTTTTACTTTCTCTTTATCTTAAGTGAACGTATATAAGTCTTAGTATATTTCACGGTAATTATATAAGACGTTGGTGTTACATTTAGATTTAAGTCAAACAATGATGATAAGGAACCATGAAGAAATACATAAATGAAAAGGATTTGTGGGTTAAGTGTGTGTACAACATTCAAGTTATATGCACATATATGTATATGTGTATATATGTGTATGTGTGTGTGTAATTAAGAAATAACAACGAAGGTTGTGACAAGCCGTAACGTTGTACAAGTAAGGGCGCCGCAGTAGTCTTTGTGACATCAGTTGTGTAACGAATCCCTACATTGATTGTGGGTCTCTGTGGTTGTGTTAGTGTGACATCCTAGCTCGTGTGTGACATCACGCGTGCGCATGGCACGCGTGTGTGACATCAACTCGTGTCTGTGTGACATCAACTCGAGTCTCACTGTAGTCGTGTTTGTGTGACATCACTTGTGTGTATTGCACGTCACGTCTCTGAGGGACGTCGCTTGTGTGTCACCACTGAGGTCGTGATTGTATGACATCGCTTATATTACTTCAGTTGTATTACAGGTTGAGAATACGAAATAGAATACATTCAATGGAATGCATCTATTTCAGTATTCAAGCAAGGACGTCGTTCGTGTGTGGCATCACTGTGGGCGCGTTAGTGTGACATCGTCGCTCGTGTATGACATAACTGTGGTTGTGTTTGTGTGACATCACTCGTGCGTAGTACACGTCACGCGTTTGAGGGACGTCGCTTGTGTGTCACCACTGTGGTCGTGTTTGTATGGCATCACTTATATTACTTCAGTTGTATGACATCGCTTATGTGACTTCAGTTGTATGACATCATTTGTATAACCTCAGTTATATGACATATTTATTAACAAGCAGACGTGTCAGTTGAAGAGCGTTCCCGCTTAACCGAACGTCTCTATAGCTGTCCACCGAAAGAGCCAAATCGAGTTCACTGTGTCACCAGTCATGGAAGGAAACAAAGCAGAGGAGACCAGCCTAACCAGCATAGAAGACCTGGAGGCCCTGAACGACGGAAATGCTAACCGGTCACTCACACAGCCAGGGTAATCAGGGGATTAACAGCTGACACTCACCCAATTGACGGCAATGATGCAGAATATCAAAGATCATATGGAGCAACTTCAGACTTCAGGCGATACGGAGGACTTTGGTGAGATGCTGTCATTACCATGAGGAAAACCGTTTCTGGAAACGAGTGAAGGGATGACAGCCACAACGAGGTATGCGCGAGACACACGTTGTCAACCGCCGGAATCAGGGGTGTCTAGCTCAGGGGTGTCAAACTCATTTGCCAAGGCGGGCCAGATTTAATATGAGTACACAGTATGCGGGCCAAGTAACATAATTATGAGCACTTCGCAATTACCTCTTAGGTGAGTAGTACGACAAAATAAGAAAGTTGGATTTAGTCTGAGCTCGTGCGAAACCCTTAAAAAAAACAAATCAAGTGTTTACTTACCTTGATCCATCATATTGTTTGCTACTGCTGCTTGCTGATAATTGACACTTCTTGGTATGAACCAGTGAATCAAAGTTTGGCACTAACGACTGAGCTGTAGCAACCTTCAGTATTGAATTAAGGTGCTCATCAGTAAGGTGAGACCGAAGCCGAGACTTGTTCCAGTTTATCACAGAAAAGAGTTGTTCACAGACATATGTACTTTCGAACATTGGCATAATCTTTGAGGCAAAACATTTAATCCCGGGATAATTTGGTCCAAAATATTGATAAAATGTACCAACATCAACACTCGAAAACTTGTTTCGCAACACAGAATCACACTGGAGCTCATTGGTGATGTTGATTGAGTATATTGTTCTAGGAAACAGTGGACTATTTTATTCAACTGAGGGATACACTCACTATTTAGTTTTAGCTCCTCAAGGTAAGGCTGGAGC